AATAAAGGTAGGAAACTAATAACAGTGGTAGCACGTTTTGCACGTGTTACCGGGGTCATCATCGCATGCACGCAGTGAACCATAAGGCTCTTTATTCTGAACATAACCAGAAGTTTGCGTGCGGATGTGGGCGTCGGAAGGGTTAAAGGCTGTCACTGATTGTAAAGTGGTAGAAGGGGAAGAGTGTGAAATGCAGCGGAAAGTCGTGCCACAGGTGCAGAGGGCAACGTTTATAAGTCGCCTGCGCCTGCGCTGCTGAGGTCAGTGTTAGGACCTGAGGGTGTGCAGGTGTGCACCCGACGGATTCCTGTGTGGCTGGCTTCAGTGAGGTGTGGTTGCCTAAGCTAAGCCAGTGCTTCTCAGCAACAAAATAGGAAGCACAGCATTCACGTCATGTCACAATTGTTTTCTGATCTATCTGTCATTTTGGAAGAAACTCATGTCATTAAACATGCATTACTGACCGCCCTTCTTTGCTTTTTCTCCATACTTTTGGGTTTCTGTGCAGATACGCTCTTTCTCTCGCTAGTTATTTCTCCCAATTGCACTGATCTCACCACAAAGCTCCAGTGCAGCTAGACTAGGAAACATTCCCTCCTTTCTGAATTTTTAATTGACGAGGGTTGTCTATATTTATGGGGTATGGTGTGATGTTTTGACATGTGCCCCCATTGCAGAATGATTAAATCAAATTAAAATAGTCATCCCCTAACCTACTCATCATTCTTTGATGAGAACATTTACAATCTACTTTTCATGATTTCAAAATGTATATTCTTACTATAGTCACCATGCTATTCAGTAGATCCCTAAAACTTATATTTCCTGTGCCATTGAAACATTTTGTTCTTTGATCAATATTTCCTCTTTCCTGGTCACCCACCTCCCTCAGCCTCTAGTAACCAGCACTCTCCCCTCCACTTCTGTGAGTTTGATGTTTTTAGATTCCTATCACACTTATCTTTCTGTGCCTGGCTTATTTCACTTCATACAGCGTCCTTCAGATTCATCCGTGTTGCTGCAGATGAAGGCATTGCGTCTGTTTTCCAGGCCGAGTCGTACCCCACTGTGTACACACACTACACTTACCCATTCATCCATTGAGGGGCACTTAGGTTGGCTCCGTAGCTTAGCTGTTGTGACTAATGCCGCATTGAACATGGGAATGTAGATACCTCTTTGGTATACTGGTTTTAATCTCTTTGGTTTTCTCACTACTGAAACTGTGTGATCATATAAGTAGTTCTATTTTTAATTTTTTTCTTTTTTCTTTTTTTTTTTTTTGTGGACCATACATACGGTTTCCTATCCCAGCTATATCAATTTACATCCTCTCCATTAGCAAACATGCTTTCTCTTCTTTCCACGTTCTTGGAACACTCTTTCTCCCTTGGTTTATAATAGTAACTATTCCAGCAGGTGTGGTTTTAAATAATTTAGATTTCCTCATTGATTTGTGATATTAAGCATTTTTTTCCTGTATCTGCTGGGAATTTTTCTGTCTTTTTTTGGAGAAATGTCTATTCAGATCTTTCCCCTATTTCTTAATCTAGTTATGCATTTTCTTTCTATGGGGTTGTTTGCGTCCCTTACCTATTTTGGATTTTTATCCTTTGGGGCATACTTTCGAAGCTATCCTGGTAGAAATCCCAGGTTTCTCAGCATCTCTTTCATAAAGTAGAAAAGGAAGTTTCAAAATATTTCACTCCTTTCAACCTACTTCTCTTGAGTGTGTGCACCTATGACTTTTATGTTGACACTGATACAGAAAGCAGTACCTTTCTAAGCTACACCTTTGTCCCAGCTAGGTCAGATCCCCTTCACAAATAATATTCCTTAATAAAAAATATTTTGTAACTTCTTTCTTTCGGAGTGTTATTGAAACTAAGGCTTGCGAACTTTAAAAGTATCTGGAATAAAACTTACAATATTAGTTTCTGTGTCTTTACCTGTTAATTAAAAATAAAATATTGTGTTATATCAACATGCCATTATGTATTAGTAATAAATGTATCCTTTAACTTATTTGAATATTCCTGGTCTACCTTCATATTTAATGTCACTTTACGGTTTTCTCAGTCACTTAGTTTTCCTGCAAAACTACTTGTTTTAAGAAGTTCGTATTTCTCAGTGCGAAACCTATATCTGTTTTATTTTTTCAGTTCATGCATTTTAAATGAAAGATGAAGAAAGTCCTGAATGCCTTTTCTCTTTTATTCCTGCAGCGTTTGTCCAATGGTTCTATAGACTCAACTGATGATACTAGTCAAATAGTCGAACTGCAAGAATTGCTTGAAAAGCAAAACTATGAAATGGCCCAAATGAAAGAACGCTTAGCAGCGCTGTCTTCCCGAGTGGGAGAGGTGGAGCAGGAAGCAGAGACGGCAAGAAAGGAGCTCATTAAGACGGAAGAAATAAACACCAAGTACCAGAGGGACATCAGGGAGGTAAGGGAGTCATGCCATTCTCAGTCTTGGCGTCCCGAACGCTCTCTCCGAGATGCTCTCTCCACAATTTCTTCTAATGGCATGCATTTTTTGATTCTTCCCCAAACCACAGTTTGGGATGCATTATATTGGATATGAAACTCATTCAGGAAGACAAAAATAGTTTACTTCACGACGTGTTTAAATATGTATGAAGAGGAATTTGTGGCATCGAGCGAGATATAACAAAGACATTTTGATGCTTTTAAAAATTTTAAGCCTTTACTTTTAAATAACCCTGCAAATGGATATGAATCATTAATTGCTATGCTAAATTGTCCCATCTCTTATTTTAGTTTTCTGTCAACGAATGTGAATATATATATATATGTAAGTACACATGTACACACATATATGGAAATATAAGATAACCTTTCTTTTTCTTCACATTCAATTATTAGACTCAGCGCTGTCCCACCTCTTTATAAAAAGAGAATGCCTAAAATTTAATGCAAGAAGTCCAAGGTAATATTTTATTTGTAACATTGTCCAATTGTCTTACTTCCCAAGGTGAGCGTTTAGAATCTTGTCATTATACTTTCTTAATCCCAACTAAAGGAAAATTATTTATACTCCTCACATTTTATTTGGTGACTTTACACATTTTCCATTTTTTCAAAATTCTCTTAAACCCTGTATTTTTACCTTATTTCTATCTTTCGTATTTTCTTCCTGTTCTCCCTTGAACACATTTTATCATACTTTTGCCCCCACTGTCCCATCAGAATTGTTCACTTCAAAGTCATTATTAACCTCCCTGCCACTGAATCCAGGGACCGAGTCTCAGTCCTCGGAAGCTCTTGATCCACTCTCCACTCTTCCCTCCCTGGAGCAATTCTCTCGGGGCCCACAGCCCACTGCAGTTTCCCGATTTTCCTCCATATTTATGTGCCAACCTTATCTCAGGTTCCTTAACTGGTTCCACTTTCCACCCACAGCCATGGAGTGAGTTCTCCTCTCAACCAACCATTACCTCCCTGGTAAGGTTGTATAGTCTCATGGCTTCAAAAGCCACCCATGGCCTATGACTCCCACTTTATGGATCCAGCTTGTCTTTCTTTTCTGATTTGCAGATATTTACATCTAAACTCTAATGGGTACCTCTCCATTAGCATCTTCACACACATTTTTTTGATATGTCCTTAACAAACTGGAATCTCCTACAGTCCTCCACGTCCATGATTATACTTGCTCAGGCCCCAAATTATGGAGCTGTCCTTGGTATCTCTCACTCACTGCATTTGACTCAGCAGTAAATCCTGTTCTCTTCAACAGCTTTGTCCACAATGGGACGTCTTCTCATAATCTTCTTGGTTTTTCCTTTGTTCTATTACAATTACTATTTCTCACAAGATTATTATAATAGTCTCTTGACTGGTTTTTCTGCTTCTGCCTTCAGCTTGCCTTAGTTTATACTCAGAATTACAGCCTGAATAGCCTGCATGTAAGTCAGCTCAGGTCATTGTTCTGTTTAAAAATGTTAACAGCTACCTATGAGTAATGACAAAGCCCTGCAGTGATTTACAAGCCGCAGACCACGTCTAGTCCCACCCATTTGACTTTTTCGAGATCATCTCCTACTCTCCCCTCTAGCCCACTCTCTTCAGTTAAGGTGGCCTTTCAAGCAAGCTGGCCCTATTTTACCATATTTTCTTTTCCCTCTGGATTTTGCTCAAATGATGTCTTCTCAGTGAATATTAATCTTGCTATTAACATATGTGCACTTTCCTTTTATTTATTTATCCCACAGCACTTACTGTCACCTGACACAAATATATTTTACTGACTTACTTGTCTCATGTGCCTCTACCCCTCACTGTTCACAAAGATTCCTAAGAGCTGGGATTTTTGGCTTTGTTTTTATTATTGTTGTTGTTGTTGTTGCTGCTGTTGTGTTGTTCCCTGCTCACTTCTAACTACCTAGAAAACAGTTCAGTGTATCAGAAGAGCTCAAAAAGATGTTCTGAAAGAATGGATATTTATGAGTGTTTACAATAGGTAAGTATAAGGTGGCATGAACAATATCTGAATATGTGCTGACACAAGTCCTGCTATCTCAAAAAACAAAAAAATTAAATAACCTATGACACGGTAGACTGCTCCACTGCAATGCAGATAAATATACGATGTTTTATGAATTGAGGGTTCACTGATACATTTCTCTTTACTCCTCTTCACAACCCAAACTCAGAGAATTTATCAGGTGGATGAAGTTTAACCCCTCTTCTAGATTACTGTTAAGGAATCACTAGGATTTGTGGCTATGGAATCAGTAGGTCCATTTCTTGATCTTTTGCTCACTCTGTGTTGGTTCTGGGGAGTCAGTGTTTTCCTTTAAATTTATCCCTCACTTAGTCTACCCAGGCTTATCTAAACACAGTAACTTACAGAGAGGGCCCAGGATGTCCAGCTCCCCCATTCCTGTTGTCCATTTAAAAATAACTCCTTGATTCCAACAGTGTCTGGACGTAGGTGGCAAAAAGCTCAGTCAGATGGAAAATGTCAATCCTCGATGCTTGGTGTTCTTTATTAGGAGTCCGTACTAATGGGTAAGGCATTCTCCTTTCACAAAGAATTCTTTTAAAATAGGTCCTAATCAGCTAGCTCCATAATTTCTATGTAATTATATTTTAGAAGAGTTTCATGAGAAAGGAATATCTTTCATCATCCACCTTCGAAGGGAAGTTGCAAACACAAATGTTTTCAGAGCCAGGCAGGCGATATGAATGTGTGACGTGCCAGGTGCAAGACAGTAGGAAGTGACAGAGTGGCTGAGACCTGTGAAAGCAGCCTGTAACGAACACTGCCTTTCTGGCTGTATCCCATTTTTACATACACACACACAAACACTGGGATGGCTAAGTAAAATGTTCTATTACTGAAAGACTTAGATCTCACCCTATAGGCCTCTGGTTTGCTAAGGATTTTTAAAAGACCAATAACATGTGAAAACTATTATAAGTGCACTCTATTTAAGTTCTCTAATTTCTCACTACTGCCCTAGAGGAAAAGCACTAATTACTATGCCCATTTTTCTTAAATAAGAACCCCCAACACATACTGAGATAAAGCAACTTGCCCAAGGCCTGTGCACTGCCCTCTTGCTGAGCACCAATAAGAAACGAGATCAGTCTACTGTTAAAACCTATGCTTCTTACACCACCATCTGCTTCCAAAATCAGCACAATACAATAATGTATTTAGTGATGGCAACTATCATAAAAATTCAGCTACAATATTGAAAGGTTCTCAACCCAAGGAAGAAAGATTATTCCAAGGCACGAAACGAAGGAAAACAGAATCCCCATTCTGTAGAAATCATGTGGTCTTCATTTCCACCTGGATGCGGGGGTGGGGGGGGGCGGGTAAAATCAAGAAAGGAATTCCACACATGGATTATGGCAGAGGGGGATTTAAAGGGTCAGGGAGGGCAGCAATTGGCAGCATTCCTATTTCCTGGGAGGGACATGAGTCGACCCTTCCTGGGTGGGGCAGGTCTATTTGGGCAGGTACACCTGATTCCGTCAAATATAATTCACCCTAAATGATTAATCGTTTGGTTGTTCTTTCCAAAAAATTAGAAGTCGTGAAAAATCATTTACTTATGAAAAATCATGTACTTATGAAAGAAATTACTCACATGAAAGCCCTGTGTTGTACTTTTATGTACCTGAGACATATGTTACTGGGTAGTGGTCACGTTAAATACACTAAGATTTCTCAGTAGGAAAAAAAGTTAATTGTTCTTGGTACTCCTATAGCATTGCTAGCACTGTATGATTTACATGTTGGACAGGTGATAAATGGTTGTTGAATTAATAAAGGAAAAATTAGGGAATAGGAAAAGCAGCCATATAATTAAAAAAAAACAGTGTGTTTTTCTGTCCTTGTGATAGTACTCTAATGCATCTAAAATGAATTTTATAATTAAGGTCCATTAGTGCTTTCAGAATATATTTTTGTAATTTTCCTTTGTCAAAAAAGAAATCTATCCCAAAATTATTTTCCTTTGAAGTTTTGTCATTAAAAAAAAATACACTCCTGGCTCAGCGCCTGTGGCTCAAGGGGCTAAGGTGCGAGCCACATACACCTAAGGTGGCAGGTTCAAATCCAGCCTGGGCCCGCCAAAAGAACAAACGGCTGCAACCAAAAAAAAAATAGCCAGGCGTTGTGGTGGGTGCCTGTGGTCCCAGTTACTTGGCAGGCTGAAGCAGGAGACACGCTTGAGCCCAGGAGTTGGAGGTTGCTGTGAGCTGTGATGCCACAGCACTCTACCCAGGAGGACAGCTTGAGGCTCTGTCTCAAAAAAAATAAATAAATACACTCCTTAAATTGATTTTTTGCCTTTTTTGATTTCATACCTTCTATGAAAGCAGGTAAGCTACATTAAAGGTAGACACAATATACATAAAAATAAACATTCTCATAAAATGGCTTAGCTTTCCAAGTTATAATCTAAAAGGTTACAAATTATGTATGGATAATAATATCTCCTTAAACATATGGCTATGCAATGTACTAACATTATCACTGAAGAATCATAATTCTATTTTGTTTTATGAATAAAACCAGCTTATCTTTCCAACTTCCTATTTAAAAACCTGCAAAATTTCACTGTGTGATTAAACAAATTAATAATTATCAATTTTTTCTCTACCATTATCCGAAACATGTAGTTAGATTTTTCACTGTATTAGATCTTAGTTACTATAGAGTTATATTTATTAGATATAATAAAATCCAATTTATGCATAAACTGCAGGATAGCAGATTATTAAATCTTTGTTTTTCTCTCATTTTTCAGATTGCAGTTCTGAGGGACTTGAGAAAGTTTCCTCTTTTAGAATTAAATAACACACAGAGAAAGGCTCTTTCTCTGACTTGTAAATTCAAAATTTATTTTTGGCGACAGAGCCTGCAGTTAAAAATTGAATCTCCTAAATGAATCGTTGAGTCAAAAATGCTGTAACAAAATTATACTCTATGTGTCTTTAATGATTTCTGCACGCAGTGTATGCTATGTAGAGCGAGATCAGATCATTGTGGAAATAATGGTCATTAAACATTTTTAAACAGCTATTATTTATTGAGGATATGTTCTACATGAGACACCACACAAAGCACTTAAAATATTGTGTTGCCTAATTCTTAACAACAAAGTTATAGGTGATATGGCAGGTGTTAGTATCTTAATCAAAAAAATATAGGAAGAAAGTGAAGCATGGGAAAAGTAAACAACATGTACCCATGGCAACAGTTAGTGTGTATCACCAATAGGATTGGGAGAAAGCATGCACTTTGTCAATGCTTATGTTCTTGAGAAATGTGTGTAAGTCTTTGATTGAGTTTACTGCAATGAGAATTTAGTAAGGAGTTTACATATGCAGGCTGGATTGAGAATTTTCTTTTCAGGCCAAAAATTAGGATAATATTCCCAGTGTTCTGTATGAAAATGAAACTGACAGAATATAATATTCCTAATAGTAAGTATTCTGAAGGGGTCCACTAAGAGAAAAACTCTTCCTTCATTGAGATAAAAATATATAAAATTGGATAAGTCAAAATTTAAAATAAAAAGCTTTTTAAAGTATAGGTTGTTTTTATGATATCTAAAATCTATTGATATGTATATAATATTTATAAAAATTAGTCTGGCTAAATTTTGCCAAATTGATGGATTAATTAAATTTCTTATGTTTGTACTTTAGTATTTATAATATATCAACTAGGATTTAACTGGGTCATGAAGGTCAGTAGGATTGGGCTAAAGAAAGCAATGAAAATTCATTTCCAGGTAGACAAGAAGTCACATGGTCTATCAGTTTTGCAGGGCTGACATAATAGTTCATTGCTAACTCAGTAGCTTAAAGGACCCATGTTTCACATTCACTCACAGTTCTGTGGACTTTAAGTCTTTAATGATTTTAAGATTGAGGTTTCAGCATGGCCATATTCTTTCTGAAGGTGCTAGTGAATATTTTTTCTTTACCCCTTCTAAATTCTGGTGGCCACGGGCGACCATGAGTATTAGTGACAAGTAGCCATGTAACTCCAGTCTCTGGAGATCAAAGGGGGAGATGAGAAGAAAAATCACCCTCTTTCTTCCTTGTATGGTCAATTAAATTCATGAATTCATAGTGGAGAAAGTGCTCCATACCTCACTGCCAAATATCACTATTATCACCTTTGAAGTGCTCCCCTTGGGAAGCTATGGCAGCACCTAGTCCATCCTTCAAGCCAATTTGGGAATTCTTTTTCTGGAATGAACATCAAAACTGTTATCATTCAAGGTCCAACAATTATCTTTGGGAATTCATTCTAGAAAAAGTAGATGAAGTGTAGCCTAGGCTCTGGCTGGATACACAGCTTCTCCAGAGGAGAACTTTGAAGACCATAGAGATATTTGGCAATATATATTTAGGTAATATTTTTTTCTAGGATGAGTTTACAAACCTGACTATCTGACCTCCTATATCTTTGTGTCTCTAAATTTCCTTCCCTTAATAAGAACAACAGTGACTGGATTCAGGACCTACCCTACTCTCATGTAACCTCAACTTCATTTGATTTTATCCACCAAATCTTATTTGCTTATAAATTCACATTCACAGGTCCAAGGTGGACATTAATTTTGTTGAGATGCTATTCACCCCAGAACACTTCCATGTAAGGAAGTATAAGATCAAAAGCTATTTGCTTTCCAGGCTTTGAGCTCAGATTTTACTCTGAATCTGGAGGGAAAGATACACGGGTATCTAAACCAAGAAGCGATATGATGAGAACAGCATCTAGAAATATCTCTTGGGCAGCAGGCTAGAGAATAAGTAATGAAGAAAAAGACCAAGAACAAGGTTTGACTGATAAGTGGGAGTAAAGGTGAAAGGGTCTTGAAGGCGTTCCTAAATTCTGTGGAGAGAGGAATCCTTCCTCAGCCAAGAAAGGCAGGAAGCGCTAATATGTGGGTGGGGAGCAGACTAGGGACAGCACGAAGAGTTTAATGGTAGATATATTACTTTTTAATAAATTTTAATTTATATATATATATATATGCACTTTTTCAAAGGCAAATATCAAGAGAGTATACATATAAATGCTTAAGCACACACACCCCCTGCCGACCCCTCCCCTCCTGTTTTTATTCTGGTATTTCCTCTCTTATTTTAACCTCATCTCTATCTTGCGGTATTCAATGAAGACTACTTATTTCCTCTCCTTCCTTTCTCTCCCGCTCATTCTTCCCTTACAGTTATCTCAAATCCTGTGTTGCCACTTTTATGACTGTGCAAATAATTTGCACAATTGATCCAAGGAGTAGTTACCTACGGTAATATTTCCTCTTGTGGTACAAATTCCTGGGTTTTTTTTATTCAGAGTTTTTACTTGAGTCATTAATTAATTAATTTTTTTTTTAAATTATGGTAAATCTACCTGTATTCTCTAACAATTTGTTAAAATATCTTTCAACATGATATAGTCAATGGTTAGGGAAAAAGATAACTTAGCATTCTTATTTTTACGTCTAGACTCCTCCTTTTTCTTCCCACCTCCCCCTCTGATCTGTACGGCTTTCTTTGTAAGCCGGCTTCACTGGTTCAGCTGTTCTTATAGAAGTCAATTCTACTCTCACCTTGACAATCTGGGGAAAAAATGACCAAGTCCCTGAAGAAAAAAGCACAGAACCCAAAGCACAGGCAGACAACCTCCGTCTGGGGGAAGAGGTGGAAAATTTGTTCTAAATTGAAAGCTACAAGTTATGGCTTTGTGTGCATGTGGTTAAATCTCCAGGTGGTGGCGAGAAAAGGGCTGTCCATTGAAGGGCGTCCATCTGTTTTGGGAAATTGGAAGAAAGTTTATGTGCAGTCTAAGAGAAGCAGGACTGGACCCAGATGAGAGTGATAAAGAGACTGATTAGAAACAAATAAATTGAGTGAATCTAGATATTAATGTTATATGGAAATTACCACTAATCCCTTGATTCCAGGTTCCTTATACAAAGACACTTCCCACACTCTCAGGAAACCATTCCGAACCATGAGGCTTTCACTTTTTTTTTTTTTTTTTTGAGACAGAGCCTCAAGCTCTCCCCCTGGGTAGCGTGCCGTGGCATTACAGCTCACAGCAACCTCCAACTCCTGGGCTCAAGCGAGTCTCCTGCCTCCGCCTCCCAGGTAGCTGGGACCACAGGCGCCCGCCACAACGCCCGGCTATTTTTTGGTTGCAGCCGTCATTGTTGTTTTGGCGGGTCCGGGCTGGGGATTCGAACCCGCCACCTTAGGTGTACGTGGCTGGCGCCTTAGCCGGTTGAGCTATAGGCGTCGAGCCGAGGCTTTCACTTTTACAGATGATTCTTCCCCCAACATCTTGTCAATAAAATAGGTTACTGATCTACCACTGAATTTTCATGTAAGTTGTTAGTAAGGTAAAATCATCCCCATATTATTATCAATAAACTGGGCTGTTTAAAACACCAGTGCCATGATTTTCTCCATTTGTGCTTATAGTTGATTTTTAACCTCTAGTGATGTGTTTGTTGACTTCTCTGAACTCATATGAATCAAAATTCAGCAGGGGGGATAGTTAAGTTCCTAAGTCAACTGCTAAAAACCCTTGTGGATATGATTCAAATGTCCTATTTCTTTAGCCTACTCTTTTAACTGCTCCATCACTTTTTTATGTGTGAAGGTGAGAATACCGATAGTATATGTTATCTGTCTTTGAAGATTGCTTCGCAATTTAGAATGGTAGCCACCACTTTCCCAGTAATGAGCTGCGGCTCTACCCTCCGTGGTAATTGTTTCTATTGCTCACTATACACTTCTTTTCTAAGGACGCTGATCCTACTGAAGGCAGTTTCAAAATCTATTCTATTGCATTTTCAGGCAATAGAAGGTTTTTCATTGATCCATGATATGGGAAGAATTCAAACTGATAGGCTGGAAAAACTCATGTGAAATCTTGCATTCCTTCCATGAAAAGAAAGCAATGACTATGTAGCTAAGGAAAGCAATAGATTTATATCCCATTATTTTAATTACATAGCATGATAATACATTTAACTGTCTGAGAATCAACTTTGATTCTTTTCATTTGAATTGCAGGCTATGGCCCAGAAGGAAGATATGGAAGAAAGAATCACGACCCTTGAGAAACGTTACCTCAGTGCTCAGAGAGAATCTACCTCCATACACGACATGAATGACAAACTAGAAAACGAGTTGGCGAATAAGGAAGCCATCCTGCGGCAGGTTCCGTGTCACTGTCTTGGTTCTGTTCTGGTCCATCTGTGTGTTCTCACCATTCTCCTAAAACATAGGGTCACTAATGTAGAGTCTTTTGGCACATGACTCATTGTGTTCTAAAATTTAGATTTATTTAACTAAACAAATATGATTTTCAGTATGAAATCTACTTTCCAGAAAGATAAAGAAATTGTTTATCTCGATAGAAATAAAAATAATGATGATTTCCTTTCGATCTCGATATGAATCAGAAATTGCACTCAACCGTTTACACGTGTGACCTCACTTAGTTCTAACCACTAGCTATGACGTAGGTACAGTTATTATACTGAGGACTCTGAGGTTGAGTTTCATTAACGCTTTCCCAGGGTTACACTTCTGGTCAATGATGGAGCAATAGTGGAAGCCTAAGGTTATTGGGTTCTGCAGCAAGAGTGGGGAAACCAGGGTCCATGGGCCAATCTGGTGGGCTTACTGTTCTCGTAAATAAAGTCTTATTGGAACACAGCCATACTAAACCACTTCATTGAGTCTGTGTTTTTTATGGTGCTTTGTGGAAGAACAGAATTGCGTAGTTTGGATGAGCGTGATATGAAACATACACAAGGCCTAAAATATTTACTGTCTGTCCCTGTACGGAAAAAATTTTCCAACTTTATTTCTATAACCTGGACTCTTAATCAAAATGCTACCTTCCTTCTCTCTTCTCCCTCTCCAGTTCAATACTAGGAATTTCCCATATTTTGCTATCATGGCATATGTGAAGTCTTAGTACTGAGCTATGTCTTCCATTGGTTCAAGTTTATATTCATGAGCAATTTCTTTTCTTTTTGCTGCCCATGGTATGAGCTTTTCTAATTTTAATGTGCTGAATTTTATGAAGAAAAATGGATGAGTAATATATAGAAACACAACAAAAATCATCACTTTGCATATTTAGGTGTGGTCATGGCTGATTTTGAAATCTAGAATAAGGGCTGGAGTGCAAAGCCCCTAATGACTGGGGTTTACTGTTCTAACTCTGACCATTTCAGCGTCTCTGCTATCATTCTTATTTCAGATGGAAGAGAAAAACAGACAGTTACAAGAACGTCTTGAGCTAGCTGAGCAGAAGTTGCAGCAGACTATGAGAAAGGCTGAGACCTTACCTGAAGTAGAGGCTGAACTGGCTCAGAGAATTGCTGCCCTAACAAAGGTACTGCCCTAAAGCAACTGGTCAACCTAGATGTACACGTGGGAACAAGGCAAGAAAAAGGAAACTATAAAGATTTTCTTCGGGCTTTATGAAAATTAAATATTACAATATTAATCCATTAGTTAATGATTTTTTCTTATAATGCATATTTATGCTAACATGAATAATTGCTTTGCCCATTTAAACATTAAAAAAACAACCAAAATGTCATGTTATTATTGTAGTTGTCCATGATAATATTTGCACGTAATAATCATGCAGATAACACACGATGATAATGTTATGTGTATATATGAGACATAACGATTTAACAGGCTTCACACCAATTGTATGCTAATAGAAGTATAAGAAATATCATATGGTATTAATTTCTTTCTGACCATAGAATGATAAAACTTGTGAGATGTTGGTAACTAGACTTAACAAAACTCTGACATCCAAAGCCATTAGTCAGAACTTAGTTTTTATAGATGCAACTTATAGTTGAAAAATTAAAATCAATAATACTCTGCAGGAAGGTGAAAAATTTCTGCCATAATATGACCTTTAGATATCACATCTGTCTGCACATTTTAGAATATTGCAACCTTAATAATGTTAAAAAGAACTATTCTCACCAATTACAGTCAAGTGGAAATGATATTGATTCAAAGTCAAAGTGTATATACGTGTCAGTAGCATATATGATAGTCCATTTGGTCACTAAAAGCATTATTGGCTTCTGATATCAATTAAAAATAATGACACACTGTAGATATTACACAATCATTACTATTTGCTAAGTTTTTCAGGCCACTGCAATAGATGGGTAGGATAATTATATGGACTTCAAGTTAAAATTTTTCGTGAGAGACTAACCCAAACATTGACTGCAGCAATGGAGAAGTAGGCACACACACAGGTGCTCTCCTGAAAAAGTAAATAATTAAAAGTGGACACTAGACTTATCTGCCAGTTGTTTCAAATAAGGGAGTTAATCAGGGAAGGAAAGAAAACACAAATGTTAGACCAAGTAGAACAGGATTAGAAAGCACTGAAATAGGTGGTTGTCTGTTAGATAGTGCTGTGTAATTAGCTGAATGAAACTTTGGTTTCAACAGGGTAAGATTACAATTTGGGGGCCGGTGCAGTGGCTCATGTCTGTAATCCCACCCCACATCTGTCTGGGTGTACCCTGGTCTCCTGGTTCCCAGTGTCAAGAATGAGCCCTGAGCAGAGCGGAGCTGATGACAGAGTGATTGCAGATGCAGAGTGAGCACACACACTCATATATTGATTTGTCGCAGAGTGAACGTCCACTGCACAGGGAGAGACAGGTTATTCTCCATGAGTGTAGAAAGACCCAGAAGTCTGAGCACACACTCCTTTATACGCTGACTGCTTTGTCCTGCCTTTTTCCTGTGAAGATCAGTTTCCATTCCCAGCCTTTGGGAGGATTGACAGGTTGTGGTTATATAACAAAGTATATAATGTTACATAACATGTTAGGCTATATAACAGTCTCCTTACAACAGATGCATCCAACTAGAATTCTTCATGAAAATAACCCCGATGCTATGCTAATTAGATGGCAATGAGCCCCAGGTCAGTTAAAGGTCTCTCTGAGCACTTTACTCTGTATGTTCCCACCAGATATCAGTTCCAAGTTGAAGTTTAATTCCTAGCTACAATTTTCCTGATTTCTGCCCTTAGCTACTTCCTTGCGACCTGTTTACCCTCTGCCAAACCTAATGCCAGCACTTTGGGAAGCCAGGGAAGATTGTTTGAGGTCCAGAATTTGAGACTAACTTCTTCAATATAGAAAGACCCACATTTCTATTTAAAAAAAAAAAAAAAAAATTGTTACTCAGGCATGGGGCCACATGCCAGTAGTCTCAGCTGCTTGGGAGGCTGAGGTGGGAAGATCACATGAGACTGTGAGTCTGAGGTTACAGTGAGCTATGATCTCACTCCAGCCTGGGCAACAGAGCAGGGGTTATCTCTAAAAATAAGAACACAGAAAAAGTCAAAGATTACCATTTAGATTCCTCTAGAGTCCCAGACCAGGCCAGTAAACTACTCTGGTAATTTTAGAAATGGGTAATTTCTAAGATAAAGAAAAATTTATTATTTCATTTGAAATTTATTCCCTAAATTATAACAAAGATACTTAAACATATTAATTTTTGTTGTTGGTGTTGGGAACAGATTTTAAATGACTGTACCATAAACTAGGATATCCATGTTTAGGCTGTTCATCTGAGGAATATTAAGAACTTTCTAAGGAGACACCTCATTGAATTGCATGATTTTGAGAGGAACTGCATGAGTAACTAAATAAGAAAAATAACTTTTGTAACATTTTAGAGTAAAATAATCATCAGTATTATACTGAGTAAAATTCCAGAAAGAGACACAATTTACATTTCAGGGAATTTATGGTTGGGCACCCATAGCTCAGTGGTTAGGGCCCCAGCCATATGCATCCAGGCTGGTGGGGTCAAACCCACTGGGCCCGTCAAACAAAAAAAATTAAATAAAGTAATAAATGAATAAATTTCAGGGAATCCTGCCCAACATTAATGTCTGATAGGCTGAGAATAAAATATAATTTAAAATCTAATATTTGACTTACGAAATTTTAAATTAAATAGTCCCAAGAATTCTTAATTCAGAATATAAAAAATAACTAGAAATAGGTGTCTTCTCTTTTTTGTTCTTCTGTATTGTCTTGTACTTTTTTGGAGATATTGTCTTGAATACGCAAACTAATTTCCTCAGTGGGCTCCTATCTCATATATTAGCAAACTTCCAGTATCACTGGACCCTTTTGATTTCCTCATTTTCAGATAATTTTTATTCTTCATAACAAATAAGAAGAACGATGGTGTGGTTTTGGTGTTGGGTGTTTTCAGGCGGTAAGACAGAAACATGTAGCCATTTTAAAGACCTTTGAAATCCCGCGTTTTTGAAATATGCATCCCTTGACTATCATGAATCAGTCACTTAATCAATTTTGATCCTGCTAACTGTTTGTTAAAATGTACTTTGAAGGATTACAGTTACCTTTGTGAATTTAGATTATGTAATCTCCACAACATTTTGATGTCTTTATGTCATTCTTAATAAAACTCTAAGTTTTAAATGATAGAAAATCATGTTAGGGCATCTGGGGACCATGTTAGATCTCTGGATTGCCTCTGCTTGGAAATTTAAGGACGACATGGAGAAAGAAACTGATTATTTGTTATATCTTTATTATTTTCCACATTTATGAAATAAGACTATCAGAGTGAGGATCTTACAAAATGTATAAATATCGGATATAATTTGCATAAGCACACAAGATTGGAAATGTTAAATGTTTATTTCATAGATTAAATAGGAATTCATTGAAAAACATAGTGCATATGCACCTACATTGATACAGAAATAGGTTAGTATTTCTTTCCCGTTAATGCATGACATTTTATGTATAATTCTATATTGGGTAATGTAAGTGTCACTGTTTGAGAATGAATTTACACAGTGTGATAAAATGTGCTCTGTAATTCAAGTTTGTATTCGTGACATAGGACCATTTTGATGTTATAATTATTTACCTTGCAATTATGATTTAACTGTTGATGTAATTTTACATGTAATCCTTGCATAACATACTAATACAATTCAGCTATCAGCAATGTCACATGTGTTGAACACCCTGTACCTCTGGTAACCGACAGTCACCTCCAAGACATGTAACTAACCTTGGCACTGGGCAAACAGAAGCTCACAAAGGCCCCAAGCTGCCCATGCACTGTAGGGCACTATTTTGTTTCCACAGCAACAAATCAATACAGAAGCAGTTTTGGAGTGAGTGGTCCCAAGAATCATTTAGGAGAGTTCACAAACAAGTTGTCTTGGACTCACAGCATTATTGCTGCCTTGATAATTTGTTAACATTTAATCATTTTTATTTGAAATTTCATTAAACCTGTATCAGAGAATAGGCCATTTGGTTCTAGACTGATAACCACAAACGGGCAGTCAGAGACCAGATGTCATTTCGTAAGTTTCAGTGTTGCTGAGGAAACTCAATCTTGCTGAAATTGGGGAATACGCATAATAATTAACCCTGCGGCTTAGTTTGTTCTTTGCTTTCTACAGACTAGGGTTTACAATAAATTTTGTTCTAAATTTATTATACCTGAGCCATCGCCTAGCATATTCCTCAATGTTAAGATACATTGTTTCCATTATGTTAAGTAATAGGAACAAACAAACCAAAGTACAAACCTTTAACAGTGTCAGAGACATAGTCTAGTGTTTGGTTTCCCATAATTCCAGGGATCACATGACTCTCCGAGTTGCTTTAATTCATCCTGTAGTCGTCTCTCATCACCAGCCATCACTAACCTTTCATACCATAGGTTGATATCTTTTTGATTTTAGCATAATACTGTTTTTCATTTATAATCATCCACCGCATCATGGTCACCAGATCTCAGTGTAGTGCCTTCCACATACAATTCTGTCTATTAAGATATTAACTTTGCCGTCACACTTTTCTTTTAAGCATTCTGTGCTGTGTTCTGTTCAGTGTTGGTGTCTTCAGTTCTGATTTTTCAATTTTGTCCCTCTCCTTTTCCTTGACTCGTTAGTCTGATCCAACCTCCTCTACCTCATCTGATGATTATCAATATGTTATGGAAGCTAAACTACAAGAAATGATCTCCATACGTAGGAAGGTAGTCCTACTGGACTTTACTTTCTATTGCTAAATAGAATTCATCTAAGTTTTTCTTTTCATTTATGAAAATTATGTTACTTTTATTTATTGATAATCGACCATCTGTGCAGTTCAGTGCTTCAGGAGCTTAAGACTGGACAATGGCAGGTTTGTGTTCAAACCATGCACAGTCTGCATGTTACATTTGGCTGAATTCATTGCTCATAAATAACTCCAATGTTTTGCTGATGCTTGGATGTAACAGGCCTTTGTAGCTGACACATTTCAAGCAATGCTGTTCAGCTGCCTGTTTTTAAAGAAAGTTTATTTTTTGAAAACTACGTTTGCAGTTGGTAGTAGCTTGCTTTACATTTTATTTCGATTTATTTAGAGGAAAAGAGTGAACTATGTCTTGCATTTCAAGTGCATTCTTCATATTTCTTAACAGGCTGAGGAGAGACATGGAAATATTGAGGAGCGTATGAGACACCTGGAAGGTCAGCTGGAAGAGAAGAATCAGGAACTTCAAAGAGTATGTAAATTAAGAACCCCTCTTCCCAATCGCCAGTTGGTAAATTTATGTTCTACATAGAAGATGAGAGATTTTAGTGGTTATGGGCTATGTTTTAAATCCACAGATACGGATGTTGAAGGAAACGGTTTTCACTAATTTCATCAAAATGGAGATAAAATGAATTCGTATTTAAAAGCAGCAAAACTCGGCTTGGTGCCTGTGGCTCAAGTGGCTAAGGCGCCAGCCACATACACATAAGGTGGCAGGTTCAAATCCAGCCCAGGCCCGCCAAAAACAACAATGATGGGTGCAACCAAAAAATAGCCGGGTGTTGTGGCAGGCAACTGTGGTCCCAGCATTTTAGGAGGCTGAGGCAGGAGACTCACTTGAGCCCAGGGGTTGGAGGTTGCTGTGAGCTGTGATGCCACAGCACTCTACCCAGGGGGTTAGCTTGAGGCTCCGTCTCAAAAAAAAAAAAAAAAAACTAGCAAAACTGAACAAATAATCTTGGTTTTTCCATGGGTTTTCATGTCATATTTATTTATATTTCCTGAATATAAGGCCAGGCAAAGAGAGAAAATGAATGAGGAGCATAACAAGAGATTATCTGACACTGTGGATAGGCTTCTCACTGAATCCAATGAACGCCTCCAGCTGCACCTGAAGGAGAGAATGGCTGCTCTGGAGGAGAAGGTAAAATGCTTCTGGGGAAAGGCGCTGCTCTTCCCAGCGTGTGTGTTTGAGACACCTCTTCAGTCATTGTGTTGGCTGTCCGATATCCGTCACTTAGCTAAGTTTTTAAATGCTTTATATATATTTAAGGAGGGAATAATTTCTATAAAAAGTATGAGATCAATTTTTATGTCAAAAAATGCTACGTGACAAATCTTTCATAATAACATATTCCTATAAGACAAATGTATTATGTGCTTTTCTGAGGAAAATACTTTATTTATCCTTCCCCTGGTATGCAAAAGAGAGAATGATAAAAATAAATAACGCAGGGGTGTTGAGCTTGATTTGAACAATTCATAGAGTGAACAATCCATACCAGCCTAAAACTCAAAATGTGGGTCAGTTTCTACCATTAGTAGAATTAGTATCAATCCCAGGAGAGGGTTAAGAACCCTATATTTTCAGCTGCTTATTTCAGAAGCAGTTCTGCTTAGTCTGTGATTTGATTCACCATGATGTATGTCTTCACTGATGGTTGACAACTACCAGACCAGCCAGTGTTATGTGAGCTAGCTGGTTGCCAATTCCAGAGCATAAACAAAAGTGGGAGAGACAGCTCAGGTGGACACATCATTCTGGAAGTTCAGAATGAATGCCAATCACTACATTACCTAGACATGTTCTACTGTTCCATAAAATAAACCAATATAGGGAAAATGTATCAATTAAATGTGAATGTAATTGCACTAATTTACCCATTAGAAAGTCAGAAGGCAGGCCTTCTTCCCATACAGGTCCAAATACATGGCCAATAAGAAATTACTACACTTGGGTGGTGCCTGTGACTCAAGGAGTAGGGTGCTGGCCCTATATACCGGGGGTGGTGAGTTCAAGCCCAGCCCTGGCCAAAACTGCAAAAAATAATATATATATGAGACACTCTTTGTTTATTTATACTATGTAAATTTTTTAAAACTATATTATTTTATGTAGTGATAGTAGTATTATAAGAAAAATAACAATATTTCAACAACAATACTTTTATAGGAAGGATTATTAAAAATTATTTATCATTCACTTGTTGTCTACATTCCTTTGTGACATACAACAGATTTTTGAATAAGTAGAATTTAATTTTTCTAATGATTTAATGATTACTCAAAATTGTTAATTTGACATTTAAACTAGATGTGTAAAAGGAAATAGTTTAAAAATATGATCTGATGATTTCTTCTTTTTTTTGATAATAAAAATGAGTTTGTGTGAATTCTTCGCAGCACTTCTAAGATATAGCTAGTTACCCAATTTTTTTTACTTGAGAAGAGGCAAACAGGAAGAGCTTGGAAGGTGATGTTTATTGCATTTGTTCATTCAAGTGATATAAACCATTTCCCACTTTGATTTTGTATTTCTCTAAAGGTTAAGGTATCGTGTTTAAAGATTCTGTTAAAACTTGGTTTCTATGGAAACCAGGAAATAGATGTACCACCGAAGGCATCAAAGAAGATCTGTGAGTGCTGGGATGTCAACGTGCATACATAAATACTGTCTGTTTATTAACTATTTCTTTTATTTTCTTTTCTGTAGAATGTTTTAATTCAAGAATCAGAAACTTTCAGAAAGAATCTTGAAGAATCTTTACATGATAAGGTATTACGAATACTTAGATTTTGTTGCCCTTTTTTTTATTTTGTACTGATGAACGTTCAGTTGTGAAACAAAGTTGACTGAGGTACTTTCAGGATGTTATTTTTTTAAAACAACTTTAACTTTTTAAATTACACCTGCAGAAAAGGATCCATGTATGTGCATTTTGTAACCCAAACACACTGCGAATCAGCCTTCTGGAAGCTCCTCCCACATTAGTTGGTAGTCACTACTCTGCCTTTAAAACACTATCTTGACCGACACTATTTTTAATATATGTTTTTTATTTCTTTGTTTCTTACATAGATGGAATTAATATGTATGCATTATTTATGTCCAGTTTGAGATTATTGAAGCAGAAATACGTTAAGTACCTATTATATGTCAGAATTGTGCTAAATTATATTATATATTTGCAAACTTGATGCTGTTTCCCAAGTAGCTAAGAAATGTAACTGAGGAGAGAGAACACACCTTTGACAAGTCAATAAGGATGTGAGGTAGTGGATGCCAAGTGCCAAATGAGTGACAGGTAGGAAGGACCACGTGAAGATGGTCCTTCACTTGCCATGAAGAAGGCTTCTGGGGGTGAGGCTTGTACTAAAGATGTCAGGAAAGCTAAGAATCAGCCACAAGCCTTCCAAACACAGTACGTGCAGCATAATTACAGGTGCTTTTTAGAGCGAGGGGATGCATAGTGAATGTGATATCTTAATTTATAGTGTAATAGTTTGCAATTAATTATTATTATCATAGGGTATGTGGTAGAAGAGACAGCAGCTACTGGAGCATGAACTCATGAAGCTTTAACTGTTAATATGTATTTTCCTTCTTCTTTAGTTTGTAAAATTCATCTTACCAATTTTATCTTATTGCATTAAAAAGGATATAATTCCGTAGCTCAGTCAGTAGGGCACCAGCCATATACAACAGGGATGGTGGATTCTAACCCAGCCCCACCCTGCTAAAAAGCAAAAAATAGCCGGGCAATGTGGTGGGCACCTTTAGTCCCAGCTACTCAGGAGGCCGAGGCAAGAGAATTACTTGAGCCCAAGAGTTGGAGGTTGCTGTGAGCTATGACACCACAGCACTCTACCGAGGGCAAGAAAGTGAGACTCTCTCAAAAAAAAGAAAAGGATATAATTCCTAATTTAAGAAGTGATCTATAGTTGTGTGTTGACCAAAGATAGAAGGACTGGAGGGAGGAGGGACAGAAAGAGAGAGAAGGAAAGAAGCAGAGAAAGGGGGAGGATGGAGGGTGGAGGGGAGGGAGGAAAGACCTGACAACCACACAGCATATGGAAGTTACCGGAAGCGATGAAGAATAAAGGACAAAGAGAACAATTATACATTTAACCATACTGGATACTATATGTAATGGTGTAACATCCATAGGAACAGTATAATTTACTCTATGTAGAGAATGTCTATTTTGTGCCATAGTCAGGGTGTCCGCAATCTCCTGATGGGTCTATCAGAATAATATAATATGGCACCTACAAGATAATAGCTCACAAAGACTACAAATGGCATTTTAGTAGCCTCCAAAAGACAAATATTATCTTAAATGGAGAAGAGAGGGAATTCCCAGTAGAGAATGGAGCCCATGCTACAGCACAGAAAAAGCAAAGATGGTTGACTTGGTGAATCAGAAGTTTGCGGTGACTGGTATGTATTTAAAGAACCAGAAAGGTTTTGAGCAGATTGTGAATTTTGGACTTGATCTTGTTATGCAGTGTTATGTTATCCAGGCTCTGTGTACTGCTGGCAAGATCCCCAGAACCCACTCCCCCACCACCTACCCAAGCCTTAGCTTCAGCAATCTGCCTAAGCAACCAGGAGTTCTAATCATTTCAGGCTTTGCATCCGTGTTTACGTCAGTCTCTAGAGAAAGTAAATCCCATATCACACCCCTTTTCTAAGCTATCATCCCCTATGGCTAAGGACATTCGCTTATCTGACTGAATGTTCTATAACTGTCTAAATGTTCATTCAGCTCATTATACTTGTAGTTCATTATCAGCAAAATCCTCTGTATGCTCAACCTCTTCTCTCCATGTTTCCCATTATTATCTTTATCTCTAAATTTTAAGTTTCTAGAGCTGCCCTGGATTTTTTTTTCTCTCTTTCAGTCCTAGGGACCACATCAGATTTTATGTATTTAAACACCATCTATAGATGGAGAGTTTCCATATTTAGATTACCTACTGAGTCCTCCTTTCTGAGAGAATGCATATATTTTAGTGCCAACTTGGTATCTCTATTTGTACAGCTAGGTATGTCAAATTTACCACCTCCCAATCCCACTAGCACACACCAAACACCACCACCACCGGCAATCTCACCAAGTCATAATCGCAGTGTATTCCAATTAGCTGCTTAAAATATGTGAAGTCATTCTCAACCCCTGTATTTAACTCATACCCCGTGTCTAGTCTGTTAGTTCTATCAAACTCTCACCCAAATCCAGCCACTCTCTTGCTAACATCATTCTTGTCCAAATCATTACTTTCTTGCCTATAGTTTTGGAAGACCCCTAAGAAATGTCTTTCTTTGCTGCTCTCCATCCCAGTGTAATCATCCAATTTGCAGCCATCGGAATGATAACGTCACTCCTCTGCTCAGAAATCTTCGGTCACTTCCTCTCTCACCAAGAGTAAAGGCCAAACAATTTAAAATGGATTACAGCACTTTCAGGATGAGTTCTGCACTCATACTTTTAAAATCTGTCCTCTACCCATCTTTCTCATTAATCTCCAATTGAGCTACCCCCAGTCCACTTGCAGAAAGAGGCATTTGCACATACCGTTCCTTCTGTGGAATTACTCGCGCCTAAATTACTCGCGCCTTCATTCTCTCTCTTAGTTCTCCACTAAGTCTCACTTTATTAGAGAGCCCCTTTTCAGGACTACCCAATTCCTCACTTACTGCATAAATACAACCTTTTACAAAATTTTTAAAACTGAATATAGTTTCTACTCTGCATTTGGAAGTGACACGTACTTAGCTAGAACATTTTAACATTCCCAGAAATTTGCAAAGATTTAGGATTAGTGAATATGAGGAATACAGATTAATTTTTATTCATTTCTGCGTTCACATTTTCATTACAAAGGAAAATTTAGGCATATTTTGTTATCTTGTTACCTTCTACAAAATATATCTACTGATTTTTCATTTAAAAATCCATTAAACTTGATTGATCGAAATTGCAGCTTGGTATTATTGGCATATGCTTCTCACCTGAGTAACACATTTATTTATTTTTAGGAGAGATTAGCAGAAGAAATTGAAAAGCTGAGATCTGAACTTGACCAAATGAAGATGAGAACTGGCTCTTTAATTGAACCCACAATATCAAGGTAATGTTACATTAAAAGCTTATCTACGGTTCACTAGAAATCAGTGTGAAGTTCCTTATGGTTTCACATCCCCTCAGCTAAAGTCAATCAGTATTTTTTCATGCTCAGTTGTCATTGCCATGTTCCCACTCTTTAGTGACTTATAGTTTCTGCATTCAAAAATAACTTTCTAATTTAGAAATACTTTCTGAAGATACTTCGCAAAAATTTAAATTATTACTTTGTACGCTGAATTTAATTAGGTAGATAAAAACATGCAAGAAGATTCTTAAATGAAGAAATTGAACTGTATATGAGAAGACTGCATTTCATTCCAAGAAGAGGCATCAGAACTTTTCTCTGCCTGTGTTCACTGCAGAAATTGAACTCAATGTACAATTGTCTCTCTATGTGTCCACTTCGGAAACCTGCAGAGAGCTATGTCCTATGCTTAATGTGCCTAAGCAACTATTGTTAATTATGGTCACTTAGCGTCTACCTGGTGAAGTAATTGCAAGTAAAAATGAAAGAGGAATTATATACATAAAGTAAAATTCAAATACACTTAGGCATATTCATCTATTTTGGCCCACTACCTCCTCTTGAAAGAAAGAAGCAAAGGATGGCTGTTTACTTGTTAGACAAATTCGTATGTCAATAATTGATTTTTAATTTTCATTTGCAAAAAAGACTTTTTATTTAAAGTTGTTTAGAAACTTAGAAAATTCGCTAATTGAATCACCTATTTTCTAGACAACACAGACTCATAGGAGTTATTGGCATATTCTGACCAGCCTGGGCTTTTACAACTCTATCTTTCTTGGTCATTATGTTCATTTAAAAAATTTTAACTCCATAAGGGCACGAATTTGTATTCGTTTTGATGACTACGATAATCTCAGCACCTAACAACTGCTTGGCACGTAGTATGCTCTCAATAAATACTGGTAAGGGAAAGAAGGAATATCTGATAAAGCATTTCTTCAGATGTGCAGATAAAAACTCCAATAGTAAATTCAAAGTATCTTTTATTCTTTTCTATGTAAATTTAGATAAAAACAAAATTCAATTTTCCAAGTATTTCGAGTATTCCTGTATTCACTTTAGTGTGAGAAACAGTTTTGTCTCCACAGAAACACTCAAAGAATTTAAAAATTCCTAAGTCATCAATTCAGAAAATTAGGCTTATTTTTCAAATTTTTAAAATCCTGTTTTTTCAAATTTTTAAAATCCTGTTTTGTATGTCTGAGCTGAAGTAATTATTTCAGTGTTAGGTGTTCAAAAGGTAATGATGATGATGATGAGAATAATGAATAAAATATGTAAATAATAAATAAATATAAGAAACAATAAAATACATAAAAATAAATGTTATCTAAGTAACAAATTAAAAATATCCTGATAGGACCAAGTGGCCATTTCATTGTCTTTTTGACTGAGATATCAAAATACCGAGTTATGGAAGTGTTGTCTAAATGTCCATCAGTTCAGTGAGTCATCCTGGACAGCCTACTAATCTGACATTTAACCAAAATAAAGGATCATCGGTCCCATACAGAACAACTGATACAGCAGGTTATACTGGAAATAACGTGAGACCAAGAATAAGACAATCCACACTCCTAATCTCAGAGAGATAATTACTAGATGTTTGATTTTGTAAAATCCACTTTTCATTGATAAGATTCTAATTTTATGTATACTTTTACATGAATACATAAAAGCTTATCATTCTGTTTATGTCACACGCTTGCTTTGTGAATAAAATGACACACATAAACCAAGGGGATTTTGTAAACAGAAAATCACATTACAAGTATAAAATAAAAATTACTAAGATAACTAAACTGATGGAATCTATTATATGGGATAGCTGAATGTCAATCAAACAATAATTATTTATTGAACATCCACGCTTCTGAGGGCACATAGTGAAAAAATAAAAAATAAAAAAAACTGAAGGTGCATGAGAACTCTATCAATGAATTTGTGGTCAGGCAGGCAGGAGGGAGAAGAGATCAGCTAAGATTAGTGACTACCAGTAAGTAACAGTCTCCCCTGGTATTTCGTCTGAGAAGATAACAATGGGAGTTCCAGAATGAGGATAGAAGGCTTGATTTGGCTCATCTCCGAAGAAAGGATCTAAGTAATTGGAAATGACAATAGGCATTTCAGAAGGCAGAGCTATGTGTAACAGGTTTTTTGTAAAAAAAAAAAAAAAAAAAAAATTATTTCTGATTTATCTATGAAAATCCTTTTAATCAGACTATGCAAGAATCACAAGAGATTCGGGAGGAGAAACCACACAATTCCTGGCTTAAAGGGACCAATGACTGTATTTGAACTTACTTACATCTTCCAAAAGCCTTTCAAAAATATATAGTATACACCTAAAGTATTTTTTTTAGCTTTTGATTGTTATGTTTTGTTTTAGATTAATATGAGGCTACAGATGATTCGGTTACATTGTTTGTGTTTCTAAGGCAAAGTTCAAGTTCTAGTTGAGCCCTTCCTCCAGGGGGTGGTATATACCCTTTAGTGTGCACTTAAGGTGAGGGCTTAACAATCCCCCCACCCCACATTCTATCCCCTCCCCCCCATTTGAATATGCTTGTGTTTTTTTCTCTCATGTAGGCATGTAATTGTTTTTCTACTGGTTTCCTAAAATAATTTTTTGTTAGAGAACTAGCTCAGAGAACTGAACAAAAAGGAAAAAAATGAACAGTATTTTCTTTGGGAAAAGTTTAAGTAATGGGCTCTTCTAGAATTGGTATTGGTCAGCCCTTTGATTCTTCCAAGGTCTATTAAGAACTTTATACTTAAGAAAAACAAAAGAACTTTCTACTTGCCAGATGTGGTGAGCACTGGAGATACAATGGTGATGGTGATTAAGAATAGCTGTTCCAGATGGAAAATATAGAAATACTAGGTTGAGGACTGTTAGCATAGAGGGAGGATGTGGAGCTAGGAGAGTCAATGGTAATAGCACTTTTAATAGCACTGAGACCTTAAAACTATCCCCCATGTAAATAATACCCATACATACACCCATACCACACCTAGGCCATTCAGAGCTAGATACTTTGGAACTGTATTATAATTTATTTCATTCATTCATTTATTTCATTCGTTATCTTACCAGATTTTTTTAAGTACTTACTGTGTGCCCAGCACACAGCCTTGGCACAGAATGATGACTAAAATCTGATCTTTAACTTAGAACACCTGCCCAACAAGTAAAGACTGAGAGTTGTGCTATTTATGTCTGGTTGGTTAATTTGTACATACGATTTATCCACAGTGAGACCAGTTTACATGATTGAGTCTCAAGTTTCTCTCTATAAAAGCAGTAGCTGTCATCCATTGGGGGGATGATTTCTTAGTTCATTTGTTCTAATGTTCCACTTGGCAAAACAAGGTCATTCTTAAGTTACTGCAGTGTCTTCCACTGTTGCAAACACTGTCACCTAACCTTTTTAATCTTGCCAAATATTTGGAAGTCCCTGTCTTTTTTCTCAAAGAGAACTAAAGTGTGGAATATGGTCAGTCATCAGGAGCCCCACATTTAACAGAAAGCAAAGCTTTAAACGCATCTACTACTAGTGATGGATGTGTTATTTCATTTTAAAGGACAGCATGATATTGCTGTTATCATCATCGTCATTACTGGAACAATAAAATGAATTTGCTGTAAATCCATATATAAGTGTCTAGAGAAATCTTTTCAACACATTGATTATAGCAGGCTTTATTAGTTTAATTGAAAACTTCTGTAGTGAAATTTTCCAATTGGAATTTTCTATTTCATCTTTAAACCAATTTCAGAATCGAATGGGTTTTTTTTTTTTCCAGAATCGAATGTTTACATCAAAATTTTTTTACTTCATCCTTTTGCAGCAATGTCTTATCAAAGCTAAAAAAAATAATTCTAGTGGTATATCCTATTTTATTTTTTAAAAAATGACTGTTAACCGTGAGCCAATCTGATTTTAAGCATTTTGTTGATTCCCTGAATGGAAATGTTGAATATGAAAAAATACCTTATGTATATATAAATTTCTCTCAAAATTTTAAAATTATAAAAGTTATGGGATCCCCCAAAATTCACACAATTAAATTTACAAGAAATATTTTAAACAACTGCAGTAATAATGAGCAAACTTTGAGATATCCTGTGAAATGCTTAGACCGGAGAGAATTGCCGGAATTTAATCCAATGTATTTTGATTATTAGTCTTAACATATTTCATTCTACAAACACATTTGAAAATGATGACAGTGAACAGGAAGGTTGTAAGCACTGCATTTTCTAAAAGAAATAAATTCACTTGACTTTTGAGAATGGACCTAAGACTGTAACTTTTGACATCAGTCTCTGACGATACCTCAAAGAATCAAGAAAATTCATCAGGGTTTTTCCACGAGGTCTATTTCCTTGAGGATTTATGCTTTATTGCCAATTAAATCAGTAGACAGTGATTGGCTGGTAAGTTTAGTTTTTGACCCTGGATGTATTTTGTATTCTTCCTCTTCTCCAGAACTCATCTAGACACCTCAGCCGAGTTGCGGTATTCGGTTGGGTCCTTAGTGGACACCCAGTCTGACTACAGAACGACTAAAGTGATCAGAAGGCCGCGGAGAGGGCGCATGGGCGTGCGCAGAGATGAGCCCAAGGTTAATCTAACTTCAGCTTCTCTCGTTTTATTTCAATACGTCATTCCATTTGGGGTAGAATGCCAACACTGAGGGAATTCAAAATGCTGGCATTTTGTTAGTTCGAAAGATGGAGTATGACATTTTTAAAACTGTGATTAATATAAAGCCCTTGTTCCATGCCAGAACTCCAATAAGCATTTCCCATGTATTTGTCCATATAACATACTGCTTTTATACTAATGGAAACATAAAAATGTCGAGGCTCGGAAAGATTCAGTGTTCAACGTTACACGGCTAGCACAGGGAGAGAATCAAACTTTGGTCTTATGTTTGCCTGGTTTCAAACACTCTGCTTTAATTATTATGCTCTGTGGCCAAGCACCGGGACTTGCAGTTTGCTTGGGCACGTAAGCAATGACATTCACATTGTCAGCTCAAATTAGTTAAGTACTTTAATAGAATTTGCTGTTTTAAAAACACTTCAAGGAAAATATACATAGGCCATTCAATGTATTCATGGAAACTTGTTAATGATAACCTGCATTGCTGACCTTTCATTCAGTCAGTATCTTACTAATCTGTGCTTGTTGAGTACGTAATGTAGCATATCTTATAGAGAAGTAATGTTGTTCCTTCGTGCCCTAAGTATAGATCGTTCTCCACAACCACTTTTGTGTCTCCAAAAATATTAGATAACGCATTAGTCCTTTTTTTGTACAAGGTCTGCTAATGAAGATGGCAAACTCATCCTAGAAAAAGTGCTGTATACCTCATTGCTGACTATCACTACAGTCACCTTTGAAGTGGTCCCTGTGGCCACCAGGCAACCGTACACAGGCACTTGATGCCTTTGGGTTTTAATAGGCACTAACATGTCATGTATGAGTTAACCCCTCATAGTAGGTATTCAATATCCTCTCTTCCATGCATAAATAATTAAATGAACAGATCACGACCAAAGGAACTACTCCCCACTTTTTTTCATTATATCGAAGAAGTACATTAGTGCCACTTGCTACCAAAAACAAATTGTAACACAAATGGTGATGCAGGCACTCAGTTCTTAACACCCCCAGGGATATATCGTGTGCTCCTCCATATTAATCATTTTACATGGCCATGAAAATGGAAAATGTTTTTTTTTTTTTATAAACTGGGAGATGTTTGGACTTCTCTTTTATTCTCAACCCTTTCAAATCACCAGATGACAGCTTAAAAAGTCACTAGTCTGTTGGTTGCTCAAAACTGTCATTGCAATGGAGGATTTCTTGTAACTAAAAAATATGGGGGTGTCGGGCAGCACCTGTGGCTCAAAGGAGTAGAGTGCTGGGCCCATAGACCAGAGGCGGCAGGTTCAAACCCAGCCCGGAGCAAAAACTGCAAAAAAAAAAAAACCTAGCTGTGTTAATGAGCATACTGTAGGCTTAAAAGATCGATGAAGCATTCGATCTACCAGGGCAGTGAAAATGAAACGACAGATACTTTGTTCCGTTGTGCTTTGCTTCATCCTGCTTTGCCGTTATTGTGGCTTTTGCACACTGAAGGTTGGTGATGACTCTGCACGGAGCAGATCTGTGGGTGCCATTTTTTAGCAGTCTGTGTTTACTTCGTGTCTCTGCATTGCATTTCGGCAGTTCCCATAATGTTTCCAACTTTTTCATTGTCATTATACCTGCTGCAGTGATCTTTGATCAGTGATCACCGACGTTACTATTGAAATTATTTGGGGGCACAATGAACTGCACCCATAGAGAAGGCGACCTTCACCCATGAACGTCATCTGTGTTGTCATTGCCCCACTGAGAGCCACTTCTCTCTCCTCTCTTTTGACCTCTCTACTGTCTGAAATGCTACAGTATTGAAAGTAGGTCAGTTAATAATGCTACAATGGGCACTAAGTGTTTAAAGGAAGAGTCGTCTGTCTCTCCCTTTAAAATCACTAGCTTTGAATGATCAAGCTTAGTAAGGGAAAGCATATTGAAAGCTGAAACAGGCCAGAAGCTAAGCCTCTCCCATCATTAGCCAAACTGTAAATGCAGTGGAAATGTTCTTGAAGGAAACTGAAGGTGCTGCTCCAGTGAATACACAAAAGATAAGAAAGCAGAACAGCCTGATGACTGATTCGGAAATATTTTAGTGATTGGATAGATGATCACACCCAGACACAAAGTTGCCTTAAGCCAAAACCATGCTTAATTCAAACAAGGCCCTAATAGTCTTCAATGCAACAGATTTTCATTGTAGACAAGACAGCCTCATATTGGAAGAAGATGGTGGAAATCAGTACACCTGAGCCGGCGGGTTCGAATCCGACCCTGGGCCCGCCAAACAACAATGAGGACTAAAACCAAAAAATAGCTGGGTATTGTGGCAAGCGTCTATAGTCCCAGCTATGTGGGAGGCAGAGGCAGGAGAATCGCTTGAGCCCGGGAGTTGAAGGTTGCTGTGAGCTGTTATGCCCACAGCACTCTGCCCAGGGCAGCAGCTTGTAGCTCTGTCTCAAAAAACAAAACAAAACAAAAACAAAAACCAAACAGTTGAAGCCAATACTCTTTAGCATTCTGAAAATCCTAGGACACTTAAGAATGATGCTAAATTTACCCTGCCTGTGCTCTATAAGTAGAGCAACAAAACCTGATGGCCGCACGTTTGTTTACAGCACGGTCTACTGAATATTTAAAACCCAGTTGAGACTTAATGCTCAGGAAAAGATTCCTTTCAAAATAATTCTTTTGTTGACAATGCACTTGATAATCCAAGAGCTCTGATGGAAATGGGAAAGGGACAGAGAGATTAATGTTGTCTTGGTGCCAGTGACATAACATCCATTCTCTAGCTCATGCATCAAGAAGAAGTTTTGACTTTCCAATCTTAACTGTTTTTGTAAGGTTATAACTGACATGGATAGTGATTCCTCTGATGGACTTGGGCAAAATCCACTGAAAACCTTCTAGAAAGCATTCACCATTCCAGATCCCATTAGGAATATCTGTGACTCGTGGGAGGCAGTCTTTATGACTTTGACAGGTGCAGGGCGTCAGCAAAGGAAGTCAACTGTTGATGTGGTTGAAATAGCCCAGAGCTAGAACTAGGAATGGTGCCTGCAGGTGTGACTGAATTGCTGCCATTTTCCGATCAAACCTGAATGGATGAGGAGTTACTTCTTATCCATGAGCAAAGGGTTGTTTCTTGAGATACCATGTACTCCTGGTGAAGATTCTGTAAACTTTGTTAAAATGGCAACAAAAGAATTAGAATATTAAAAAAAACTTAGTTGATAAAGCAGTGGAAGATTTTTAGAGGAATGACTCCAGTTTTGAAAGTAATCCTCTACTGTGGGTAAAGGGCTAGCAAATGACATTGTATACTACAGAGAAATCTTTCTGAAAGAATCAATTGGTGTAGCTAACTTCATAGTTGCCTTATTTTAAGAAATTCCCATAGTCACCCCAGCCTTCAACACCCCTTATCACCTTGCATCCACCCACATTGAGAGCAGACTCTCCACCAGCTAAGAGATTTACACACTCAGACAACTGTTAACTTTTGGGGGTTTTTAGCAATAAAGTATGTTTTAAAGAAGATATGTTTTTCTAGACATAACGGTATTGAACACTTACTAGACTGCAGTATAGTGCAGACATAACCTTTAGATGTATTAGGAAACCAGTAAACTCAGGTACCTCATTTTACTGTGGAATCCACATTGACATGGTGCTCTGGAACCAACCCATAATATACGTGAGGTAGGCTTGTAAATCATTTTCTAATATTTTTAATAATATTTTGCTAGAATTGATGTAAATTAATGTTGTAAATATCATTTTAATATCCCTTCTTGTGTGACAATCTTTGTGGCTCGAGTTTAGAGTAAGATAAATACAACTAATCAGTATAAGAACAGTGAAAGCTCACGTGCCGGTGAATAGAGATTGCTGTATTTGGAAAAACGTGTTGCAAATATAGTAGCTTTAAAGTAATCATTACTTTGAAATGTAATCTACCTATAAGTCACACAGAGGTTTATCATCTTAACTCTATTGAAGTCTTGATATTTATGCTGACAGTTAATACCTGATGTTATTTAAGATGTCAAGGGACTATTTTATTGAACCGATAAATTATAATGTTAATAACTGGTATGGCTTTGCAAGGTCTGCTATAAAGTACATGCATTTTGTTGTCCTTAAGATTAGAGCTTTGAAAATGACCAAAATGAAAAATACTCCACATTGTTCATCTACCATTCAGGTGAAATCTCTTGGGGATCATGAGTGGAATAGAACTCAACCAATTGGAGTACTAAGCAGCCACCCTTTTGAAAGTGACACTGAAATGTCTGATATTGATGATGATGATAGAGAAACAATTTTTAGCTCAATGGATCTTCTCTCTCCAAGTGGTCATTCTGATGCCCAGACACTAGCCATGATGCTTCAGGAACAACTGGATGCCATCAACAAAGAAATCAGGTGACTTCAATTAGGACCGATGGTTTCGAGGAATTAGAAGGAGACTATCAAAATACTTTTTATCTGGCCAGTGAGCACATGCTACTGAAAAACTGACAGAGTTACAGAGTAAAGACAGTAAAGACACAGGCAGTGACTTAATCATCAAAAAGCTGGTGAACACATAGGTGAGAAAAAGTAGCCATATTTCCCATAGCAAACAAAGGTCAAACGACTATTTCCTATTGCATAAATGTAACAAAAAATGGCATCAAAGTAAATATTTACAAAGAATCATTTCTTGGCCTTATAGCTAAGATCAAATGTATTTACAAAGAAACTTTGAAGTAACAATAACTTCAAACATCATAGGCAATCACAATAAACCATTTCCAATTAAAAACAAAATAGCATAGAAGTCTATGGCTCCCTTATCAAACAAGATATACTGGTACACGGCTTTCATAATGACATATAAAATGTATACAGATTCAACATAAATAGGATCTTTGTACAACCAAGTTAAAGCTCTTTATTCTTTGAGCCTTTGCAGTAATTGTTATAAATATTCTTGAAGTTATTTCCTTATTTAAAGGAAAAGGATATTAAGGGCTTTGCCTTCTCAAAAGCCTCTATATCAGTGGTTCTCAACCTGTAGGTCACGAGCCCTATGTAACAATGAAATATACCCTGCATATCAGAAATGTACATTATGATTCATAGCAGTAGCAAAATTACAGTTATGAAGTAGCAACGAAAATAATGTTATGGTTGGGGGTCACCACAACATGAGGAACTGTATTAAAGGGTTATAGCATTAGGAGGCATTAGGAAGATTGAGAACCACTGCTCTCTATCAACAGCTTTGTTTTAAAATTATTTATTCAGTGTCTATTATCTATCTAACTATACCTGTGTGTCATTAAGTTGCCTGATACTGATTTAAAGGAGGTTTAGTATTGTATTAATATTTTAAAATCTTCAGGGTTTTATTTGGCTACATAGTAAATTGCGACTGACCCTTTATTGAGGATCTTAGCATTTCAATATTTTCATTAGGTGAGAGGTAAGCGTCAATGATTTTGTTGGGGTCTGGGTTTCTAAACATCTCTTTTATTGGTGCCTGCCTTCAAATGTAAGATTAGCATTAGTGGCAGAAATTAACTAACAAGGTTTTGAAAGATATCTAGCAAACCGTAGTATAAGAAGAGGGTCGGACCAAAAGTGCGTAGGAATTATACATTGTTTGAGAAAAATAATTTTCTAAATTGCAACTGTAAACCCCCTGGAATGTGCTCAAAATTATACCACATATAGAATAAGATGAAAACATAGACGTAAAATGTTCACAGATTAGTTTTTATTGACTTAACAAATCCATTTTAATTGCCGTTTCAACAGTATATAATGGATTCGAATAAAATTAAATACAATGAATCAAAATTAAACTGTATATTTCAGGCTGATTCAGGAAGAAAAAGAATCCACAGAGTTGCGAGCTGAAGAAATTGAGAATAGAGTGGCGAGTGTGAGCTTGGAAGGCCTGAATCTGGCGAGGGTCCACCCAGGTACCTCCATCACTGCCTCTGTCACTGCTTCATCACTGGCCAGTTCATCTCCCCCTAGTGGACACTCAACGCCAAAGCTCACCCCGCGAAGCCCTGCCCGGGAAATGGATCGGATGGGAGTCATGACGCTGGTATGGCGATGGGTCCAGATCTTTGCCCCAGTTGAGATTATAATGACGCATTAGCTAAAGCTCGCTAGATGTTTGTTCTAGTCTAAGCACTTTCTGTGTGTTGCATTATTGCATTGTTCCTTTTTCTCCTTTTCACAACAACCCTATGTAGTAAATGCAACCATAAATCCCAATATTTGAGATGAGGAAATGGTAGCCCATACAAGTGTTTTAAGTTTCTCAAGATCACATATCACTTAGTAAGTCATTGGGTGAGCAGGGAATCTAACTATCACACTAGAAATTTGATTCACATATTGAGGAAATAAACTTGCACCGTGTGGGATTTTTCTATTAACATAATAAATAACACAACTATTTCTTATAATTGCTTCAGTACACCAAGATATAAATTTATAATTTTCTGATATTATACATAACATGAATGTCATAAGAGCTATAAAAGGCAAGAGCAGCTAATTCCTAATTTTGTTTTAGACTTTTATGCCAACATTTTCACATGGATTCTTTAATTCTTATTTCATGTATCTGTATATTTGGGATTAAAAGAAGCCTAAATGGGGAAGTCCCTTGGTCAACTGATTAAAAAAAAAAGATGTGCCTCATACTAAAAATAATATAATAAAACCTCTGGAAAATATTGTTGAGACGATTGCTGAGTGTCACACTATTTATCCATTTAATTCTCATGACAAAACTGAAGGTGGGGGGCATTATCTCAGTGGAGAATGGAGGATTTGAGAGTTTGAAAAGATTGTACATGCTGAACACAGCTAATAGGTGGAGCTCTATTTTTCCTTCAATTTGCTTAACTCAAAAGCACGGACTATCTTTTTTGTTCTGTCATTACTTGGAAATATGTTGAAATGACAGCAATGATGAAGATTAAAATATTCTACACTGTTTTGGGAGGTAAAAATTCTATGTTTTTTTAATGAATATACATTGTATATTTACAATTATGAGACTTCCAAACAATTAAGCTTATATAAAAGAAAAATGTGAACTTTTTACAAAAGGAAATAATTCAAGCCATTGAGTCCAGTATTCTGTGCTCATTTCTGACACTTTATATTAAAAATATTTTAAGAACAGGACAATGTCCAATGAGAACAATGACCAGCTAATCAGAACCCACACTACTTGGATAAAACACAAACTTTTAAGCACTGTATAATATATACTAATCGAATATCCTGAGCTACATTGTGATTTGTTTATTTTATAAATCTAAGGAAATGGCCATCTAATTTTATAAACCAAAATATTATTATATCTGGCGCAGTTTCTGCATATGTCACATATGCTACATAATATTAATTACAACTTAATACCAAATCTGTCATAAAAACTTTGGACCCAGAGAACAATTTGGTCAGCTTTCTAGGCAGGGATATCTTGTTTATTTCTGCACTACTTTTATTTCTAACAGGTTTCACAACATAGTATTTTTCCCTTTAAAGTATTTTTATATGGATTATTAGCACAACCCTTCACAGTACTATTATTTCTATAATAATAAAATATTATATTTCTAGATACTTACATGTGATTTTGTGTGTGTAAAAAAGATGCCAGTGCTTTCAAGCATTTTCTTGAACAGAAATAAATCAATCAATAGGGAGGCACCTGTGGCTCAAAGGAGTAGGGCACCAGTCCCATATACTGGAGGTGGTGGGTTCAAACCTGGCCCTGGCCTAAAAAAAAAAAAAAACTACAGAAATAAATTAATGGTAAATGAACACTTACATTATCACACTGTAATTAGAGTATTAAAAAACATGTAGGGAATTTCATGAAAGGCAAAGAAATATTTAAATGATTCAGTATTTAAGTCAGTATAGCAAGAAATGAAATCCAAGACATCCTTACTACCTGATGTAACTGTCACCCAATTCATTATTTTCATAGTAAAATGAGATTTTCTTTACCTATAGAAAATACTGAAGGAGAAATTATTTTATTGGATATAATTTATGTTTGATATTCAGAAGAAGATTAAAAATTTTAGGAACAGAGAAGTAGAAATAGAAAAGACATTGCATTAGTTGGAATGTTTAACAATTCACAAAAATTGTTTTTTTTTTTGTCCTGATAATAAAGCCTGCCTGTTGTATTTACCTTTGCCTCATAGCAAATTCATAAGCATAAATAACATCTAGCACTATCTAATTAGAATACCCAACGGGGTAACATCAACACTCTCCCCACTAACAAGTATGTAAAGCATAATGGAATAGTTTTACAAAAATTATTTATCTTAGTTAAGAAAAAGTGATCCAAGATATGAAGTGAACTAGATTTATCTGGAATCATTAAAAAATTGACAATTTTATAAAAATCTGTAGAAAAGCATTGACAAGAAAGCAGCAGCTCCAGGAACTGAGGCAAGAGCTGCGGCATTTGTGGGGGTGGGGAAGGCTGTTGGCATTTGTGGGGGTGGGGAAGGCTGTTGGCATTTGTGGCGGTGGGGAAGGCTGTTGGCATTTGTGGGGGTGGGGAAGGCTGTTGGGATGCCAGGAAGTCTGAGGTCTGTGGGGAGGAGCATACCTACCTGTCCAAAAGGGAAGACTCTGCATGGATAGGGCAAAGGAGAAAGTTTACAAACTCTGTATGTGTATATAGGATCTTCTGTTGTCTGTATTTTACCGGGAAGGTTATAGTCCCATATGTATTATATTTCTGTCTGGCCCCAGCTTCTGGTCAGCTCACTCCCTCCGTCCACACTTTCTATTCCCCAGGGTCCATGCCTCATAGTCAACAGTCCCATCTTGGAGACACACCCCTGAGACGACCTTTTCTGAAGTTACTACCGGGAGGAGTGCTTCTAGTGTGATTATAAGACATCTGTTTAGAAAAGAATGGAGAGAGGGAAAACACTGATGGCCCAGTTTAGATGCTATTTAAACTTGTCACAGGCTCCTCTGGTAATCATTAATGGCCTTTCTTTCCTGTTGTTTTTCTTACTGCTAATCACAGCCAAGTGATCTAAGGAAACATCGGAGAAAGGTACTGTAAATAACTTTAACATGATTACTACTTGAATTTTGTTTTAGTCTTTGAAAGGTTTAAAATAAAATTCTCTCTAATTGAAGTATTTATTAACATAAAAAGAGAAAGGTTGAGAGTACTTAATGTTACTGAATTGTTTAAATATGGTCATAAGAACAAATACTTCAAAAAAGTTATCTAAGCTTTCTGGGACAGTGACTTGAGTATGAGAACTAAATATCCTGATTGTCCTCAGAATATTTATGCCACAGATCGTAGAAGTAGACTTTTTAGTATAAATACTTGTATTTATTAATACAAAATACCTATAGTATGATATTTAATAGAACTATTTTAATAAATAGAACAATGCTGATTGCTTTTAAAGGGTTGTTTTGTTATTATTGTTTAGCTATGGTGAGGTCAACAGAACAAGAAACAACTTTCAAAGAAAATATACTTTATTACTCACAGTTCCCAAGAGGATGGGACATGCTGTGCCTCAGGAAAGTACCGGGGTCAGTCAGGGGCAGAATAAAACCAAGAGAAGCATAGACAGAAGCCTTTTTGAGGTCTCTTTAGGAAGGGAAAGACAAGGCAAGTCACAATAATTAGGCTTAGGACTGATTGAATAATTTCAGCTGGCCCTGTCAGCTGTCTGGACTGTCTCTAGGTGTCTCTGGGCTGGTCCTGAGGTGAGCAGTGCAGAGGAATTGCCTTCTGAAGCCACTTAGAGAAGGTGATTCAGAGGATGGGCTCTTAATTGGTTGGTTTGCGTATGAAAGGCATGTTTACAGGGGAGTAGTTTGCTCAGTCCAGGAATTAACTATCCCTTGAAGAAGTCTTTCCAATAGCCAGAACATCAACATGGAAAAAGAAATCAGGAGAATAAACATAGGATATAGGAAGCAACATGGACTTCAATTGTGATTCACACAATGACATTTTATTAGGTGAATGGGATATCAGATAGGAAAGATTTCAAAGATCCAACCTGGTATCCAGTGAGTGAGTTTTTCTCCAGCATCTTCAGGATGTGGTAGTCAGCAGATATGCACATGGCATAGACTGCTGGAATTTTTTTTCTTTTTCTGAGCTGTTAAAGATCTTCCAATAGCCTCCTCCCCTAGCACTACCTGCTGGCTCTCAAGGATCAGGTCTACCAAGTATAATGCTCTTAGTTCTTGGACTTCCTCCACTACTTTACAAACACTGTTCTGAAAGTTAGAATGGAATCTGAGTAGATGGTGTAAAGGAAGTTTAAGGATATGAGAAATAAAAAGATAAAGCAGGGCACAGTGGCTCACTCCTATAACCCCACTACTCTGGAGGCTGAGCTGGAGGATAGCTAGAATCCTGGAGTTCAACAGAAGCCTGGGAAACATAGCAAGACCTCCTTGGCATCTCTAAAAAATAAAATAAAGAAATAAAAAGGTAGAATGGAAGGCTGTTTGCAGTAATGTAGCTTTGGAGAATTCAGAGACTGAAGATATAACTTGTAAGAAAGGTCATAGGCAGAAGAACCATGAACTAAACATTGCAGTGAGTCAGGCAATGCTTGACTCATGTACATGCTTTTTTAGTTACACTTACAAAGAATACATTAAGCTCAGAGAGAGGAGAGGAGAGGAGAGGAGAAGAGAAGAGGGAGAGAGAGGGACCAGGCTCTTTTAAACAACCAGCTCTCCAGTGAGCTAATAGGAAGAACTCATACATTATGGCCTGGAAAATGGTTGTGGGGAAGCCAATCCATTCAAGAAGGTTCTGGTCCCTTGACCCAAACACCTCCCACCAGGCCCCATGTTCAACACTGGGGATCAAATTTCAACATGAAAGTCAGAGGGGCCAACATCCAAACCATATCAATGAGGAAATTTGTAAAATTAGAGTAGGTGGGTAATCAGCCTGTTCATCTGACATTCAAGAGAAACCAGGATTCAAATAAATCCATCTCCTTTCTTCTTCCTGTGCGTTTTTGTTTTTGTTTTTTGTTTGGGGGGGCATGTTGTTTGTTCGTGTGTTCTTTTGAGACAGGGTGTTCTCTGTTGTCTAGGCTAGAGAGCAGTGCCATCACCATAGCTCACTGTAACTTCAGATTCTTGGGCTTAGGTTGGTGTTCCTGCTGAAGCCCCTGGAGTATCTGGGATTATAGGTGTTGTCACCACACTTAGCTTTTATTTTATTTCATTTCATTTCATTTCATTTTTTTTCAGAGACAAGGCTTTGCTTTTTCCCAGGCTTTCTATTGGTTTACATAGTATGTTATTTTCTAGAGGAAACTTTTGTATATGATGTTTTTGGGACCTGGGACTGGCAGAAGATAGGCTGGCTATAGGGACAACAGAGAAAGGTATTTTACACCAAAGTATTTCAAGAGCAAAATTCTGGAAGCAAAAATAGCCATGCTTAGCATGGTCATGGTTGGATCACAGAACTGTAAAAATATCAACATATATTAGAAGGTTCAGAAACAATTTAAAGCAGTTCTTTAAAAAGGTCTTCCTAGTGGCCCTAATTGAATGGAGACAAGGAGTCATTTCTAAACTGTTAAGAGTAATCCGAAATGTCTAAACTGTTAAGAGTAATCTGAGTTTGGCCAAAAGCCCTGACAAGCAATTCATTGACCTCTCTCCAATGTGCGAAGTCTTCTTCACAGATAAACACATGTATGCGTGATTGGTCCACATAGAAACAAACATTTCCCCAGAACACAGCTTTAAAATTTTTGCTTTAGCCGTACTGAGACTTTCTTTTCACTATCACAACTTGTAAAACCTTATGCTGTTTAGCTGTGTTTTTCACAATCTTGCTCTCTCTATGTCCATTTTAATAACACCATGATGCCATTAAAAAATATATAGCATTGTTGTGAAAATATATCGCTATAATTAACTTAATTGTTGGAAAGATATTCCCTTTTCTTAGGGCTGTGTACCTCTAACTCTGAAAAAACGTATGGTATCCTGGGTTGTTGAGGGTTTTGTACTAAATCATTCTTTGAAGAAATCCCTCCCATCTCATCCTCTTTTGCTTTTCTGCATGTTTTTGCCAATTTTCCCATCACAGTAGTGAAAGGAAACAATTTTCAAAAATTATACGCTTATTTTTTATTGTTCGTGTTTTAAGGGAAAATTTTTTCCTTGTAAAATGCAACTCATTTTGAAACATCCTGTAATACATTTCATTAGGCCGTTCTAAAACACTACATCTAATCAAATTATATTTTGTCAACTTCTCTCTCATTTCTAGAACCCTAATTTAAAGATGTCTTTGTTCTGATAATCTGATTAGGCATAATGCTTTATTTTTTAGTGAGTTTACTCGAATATATGTTCAATACCTTTGTGAAAAGAAATTTACATCCTGATATGATATAATGGATTCCAGAATAGCTTTGTCATAGTGACCGAATATTGATCTATGTTTATTACTCAAACAACGTTTTTGCGTAGTGAGTCCTTTACTTTTTAATTATAGCATCTTCGCCCTTAGATAGCTGTGACAATCATATTCTATTAATAGCAGAGATTTATGTAAGGCTTCTATGCCTTCAATTTTATTGTTTCATTCTATTTGTTGTTTGTGCTATTCCTCAATAGCCTTGCTTTAATGATTCTTCAGTTGTATTGTTTTCATTTGAAATTCTAAGACATTTAACACAGTTGAGTGTGTTGTTCTTGCTTCTAGATTGCAGTGGTGGAAGAAGATGGTCGGGAGGATAAAGCAACCATCAAATGTGAAACCTCTCCTCCTCCCACCCCGAGAGCCGTCAGAATGACTCACACCCTCCCTTCCTCCTACCACAACGATGCCAGAAGGTACGAATCTCCCGGCACCCTGCACGTAGAATCCTCTTTGCAAACATTTTCCTCTTCCTTTGGTGTAGCCAATAGACAACATAAAAATTGACATGAAAACTTTGATTTGCACCAGAATTCTCCATCAGGGTATTGTCCTGCACCCCCCCCCTTCTCATATCACTTGTGATATAGCCAAATTTCCACTTTCAGATCAAACTTTTAATTTTAGAATTAACCATTTTTGTAATCTTGTTAAATGTATAAGAATAGCTCTTCTACGGTTGGCACCTGTGGCTCAAAGGAGTAAGACACTAGTCCCCCCATATATCGTAGGTGGGGAGTTCAAACTGGCCCTAGTCAAAAACTGCAAAAAAAAAAAAAAAAGAAAAAGAAAGAAAGAAAGAAAGAATAGCTTTTCTATTTTTAGTAGATATTTCCCCCACTTAAATGAGATCAGCTTAGAGGGAGGATTTATTAAGAATAAAAACTAAGGGGATTCTAGGGCAAGACATCAAACTTGGATTGCAGCGTGAGAATAAATAAGGTCTGCAAAGTTCATAGTTGTGCCTCACGTACAGTTAGCAGCCAGGTACGTCCACCCTGTGGGTGCTGCTGCTGCCAGCAAAAGTGACTCTTCAGGCAGAAAAATCCTTAGAAAGGAAAAGAAAAATAGCACACTGGCAAAAATATTGAAACACAAGGTAAATCTAAATGAGGAAATATGTCATTTGTCATGGCGACTCTTTTATTTATGTGCCTAAAGAATTGTTAACTGATTCCCATAATAGTTAATGTATAAATAAATCTAAACTTACAGCTTACTTTATAATTGGTGTCTTCTTATTGCCTTATCATTTCTAGACACATAACTGATATAACCAAGCATAATAACTTACGTATCAATACTGTGTATAGGAAAGAATATATCATCTCCATAGTATGTTTTACCACTAAATGCTTATTAAGGCTTATTTTGCCAACAAGAATTTTTTCTTTTTGATTATTTTTAATTGTTAATGTGGAATAAAAGATTACTCCATCTTCAGAATATATTCTCACTCTCCAAGAAAGAATGAATTATATTTCTAACATATAAAGCCTTGAAGTTTAGAGAATGTGAAGCCAGGTAAATTAGGATAAGTGAAGTTAAGAAATTCAGGCTACTAAAAACTGACAGCAATATCTATGGACCTCCCACTTATACAGTGTCTGATGTATTGATCAGAAGTTGAACCTAGACCAATTGCTTGGAAGTCATTTTACCTTATCATGAGTCTATATTTTTCTTAATGTAATTAAGAAAAAATACATGTTGATCACAAAGGTATATGATCTCTTGCTTTTAGAGCCTACTCAGATGATTTTAAAATAAGTGAATTAGATTCCAAAGTGAGAGCAGGAAAGATGGCAAGAAGAAAACCAAGTAAAACTATAGGTTAGAATACAAAATTCAACTTCATAATTAGTCATACCATGTTTCCCTGAAAATAAGACACTGTCTTATACTTGGTTTTTCTCAAGAAGACACACTAGGGCTTATTTTCAGGGGATGTCTTCCTCTCTGCGCTGAAATGCATGGTGTGGCTATGCAGATACGCTGCATAGCCACTACACGGCATAGCCACGCCCATCACTAGGTCTTATTATCGGGGTAGGGCTTATATTTAACAAATGCATAGAAATCCTACTAGGGCTTATTTTGGGGGTAGGTCTTATTTTTGGGGAAACATGATATTTCAATTTTTTTTACCATAGATCATTATGTTTAAGATTAGAGTGGGATTGGAATGTTCCTACCGTAAGAAAATGATAAATGCCTGAGATAACAGATACCCCAATTACCCTGATTTTATTATTTCACATTATATGACTATATGAAAGCATCACATGTACCCTAGAAAGATATCAAATATGTACTCATTATAATTAAAAAGAGAAAAGAAAAACGATTAAAAAAACAAACTGAGAAAGAAGCAGATGATGAGTCAAGGGCTAAATAACAGAAGGTCATTTAACCTGTAGGTAATAAACCAGTCTATAGTTTGAGATTGTACCAAAAATAAAGGAAAAAAAGGCCATTTGGAACAAAAATAAACTTTACTGGTGAAGATTTGGAGGTTCAAGGCCCCAAGGCTTAGGAAACTACACATCAATATCTGAAGAGGTAACCTGGAAGGAAAGAAAAAAATAACATTCAAAGTCGAGTTGTCCCTACTTGTGCACATCTATAAAGGAAAGAAGTCTGTGTGCCTTGTGGATGTTGCCCCACCGTGAACACTTTGCCCTCTTTTGTGCTTTGCAGTAGTTTATCTGCCTCTCTTGAGCCAGAAAGCCTTGGGCTTGGCAGTGCCAACAGCAGCCAAGACTCCCTTCACAAAGCCCCCAAGAAGAAAGGGATCAAGTCTTCAATAGGACG